ATTTAGAGATTTAGATATATCAAAGCAACTGGGTCAGCAAATTAAAATCCACAGACTTCAGTGTCTAGTTTTACAAGTACATTTTTGTTTTAGTTATAATTATTTATTTTTAATAGACAAATTGATATTAAAGAAAGTTGTATTGGAATACAGCTGTACCCAATCTATTACAAAATTCCATGACTATTTTCACACCACAACAATGTTGAGTAGCTATTGAAGAGGCTGTGTGACCCAGAAAGTCTGAAGTATTTATTATTAATCCAGAATAAATTTGCCAACTTATTCTCATTCAGAATAGGTTTGCCAATTCCTATTGCATAACACTGTATTTAAATTCTGTCTACTTTTAAATGCTAAATCAAACTCCAGAATACCAACATATGACTAGTTAGCCCTTCTTCTTAGTAATCTTGCCAACATGACTATCAAACCTTAAGGTTCCTCACTATTCTAGACTTCATGACCATATTTCAATAAACTAGTAAAACAAAAGCAATCATGGGACAATTATCTAAGAATTTATCAGGAATATATGCTTCCAAAAAATATAGAGAGTTAGTATTTTAGAACTATAATTAGAGAATATTCAATACCAAAATTCACAAAGTAATGATAGTATCACCCCAAATATAAAACGTCAATCATAAACATCAAATGTGTTTGCTTTATTAAGACACTGTATTAAATGAAATAACAGCACAACAATAGGCAAGAAGGGATTATATGAAAATATATTCACATGAATATCTAAGAATAGAGCCTTTATAGTAAAGGGTCATTATTTACAGGCTACAAAGAATAACCCCGTAACTCAAATTTTTCAAAATTCATAATTTATTAGTCACTATTAGATTTGTAATTACCTTGTGCCAACTGCTTGCCCAGGAAAATGAACACTTTTAAATACAAGTGCAAAAGCACCTTCCTATGAAAGGGAAAAATACATTTGCATAATTTATTATAACAAATTATCAAATATGAAGTACTTAAGTTACACTGGCTTCAGCAGACAAATTTTTGTTCATAAATAAATCTACATTTTAAGTTTATGCTTACTCCTGAGTTTGGTGTATGTAAGACCCACTTTTTAAACCACATCTATTTTCAAACTATGCTTAAAAGATAGTAACTACAAAAATAGACCATTTGTACATGCTACCAACATTTCTCAATAGATACAGCATATCTCTCATATTATGGATTAGTAAAAGGATAGAAATAGAAAAGACCCCAAGCTCAACATCCAAAACCCATTCTCTGCCCTAGTAATTGCACACCACTGATGACTTCCATTCTTTCTTACCCTGATATTAGACATGGGAACATATACATTTACAAAATGCACACCATACTATCCCAACAAACCAACCTCCTCAGGGATAGGACCTACTGAACAATAGGCAAATATTTTTTCAAATGACATAGAAGAATGAAGAAACACTAGAACATAAAAGGGACTACAAAGCAAATAGAAGGGAAACCAATCAGAAACAAGAAAGGCTGCAAAGGCATACTAATCTGCATTGGGCAAAGTCTATACAATATTCTCCATCTTCCCAATTTCTTTTGATACAAACATCATAAGGTAAGTGTCGTACAGGAGGGAAAGGTTGTGTCTCAAGGGGGGAAAAAAGGACATTTAGGGCTGGGGAGATGGCTGGGTGGTTCAAGCGCCTGCTTGGCAAGCACAAGGACTCTATGCCCACGCTGGCCCCAGAACCTGGACAAGCCGTGCGGGCCCTGAAACCAGGCATGGTAGCACACATCTGTAATCCCAGTGCTGGGAAGGCTGAAACAAGAGGATCACTGTAAGTCTGAACTGCATAGTGTGACCCTGTATCAAATAAATAAATATTTTTTAAAACAGCTTTTAAATGAAACAGCTACAGTTATGAATTGGGGTGTGGTCAGGCATTGCTATGGACTTAAAGAATTTTGTGCATGTCTTTAATCAGGGTTACTGAGATGGAATTACAGGAATACTGCTTTCTCTTGGGCTTGAAAATACTTATCCACAGAAGTAGGTACAAAGCCAAGGAAGTTTTCAGAAGGAAAAAGGATTGCGTATGCAGGTTCAAACACATGCAAACATTATTTCAAAATAAAGACTCCACACTGAAGGCATCCTTGTACTACATTACTGGACAGAAGCAAGAGGGATTAATTCTCCACTGTAGGTATTATGTACATGTTTGAATGTGACATTTATGAGTTTTATGTATGCATAATTTTTAGGCAAACTGACTTCAATTTCATTATAACACACAGACTAAATAGAATTTTAAGTGTATGTGTTTGGGGATACTCAATAAATCAAATTATCAGTCTCTCAAAATTACTGAATTGTTATATATGGCATACAATTCGATTGCGCCACTGGAACTCCATATATGGGATACAAAAGCCAAAAACATTTAAGAAATTAGCATAGTTCCTATTGATCAGAATTAGTTTTTAGGTAGATTCTCATGGGTAACAATGGCATAAATAGGGCTGGCCAAATAGCTCAGTGGATTAAAGAGCCTCCAAGCAGGCCCCGCCCCCAGGGCACACTGAGACAGCAATTGAGACTGAGCGTTGTGGTGTGCACCTGTAATCTCAACTCTTGGGAGGCTGTAAACAGGTGGATCACTAAGAGTCCAACCCACAGTGAGACCCTGAATACCCTTGTAGACCCTCCCCTAAAATACAAAAAACAAAAAAAGCATAATTATCTGTAAAAGTGTAGCTTTCAACAGGATTCCAATGTAGCCAACTAGAGAGGGAGGTGCACTGAGCAGCTCAGAGGAGAGAAAACTAGGTAATACTAACTATTCTGAAACCATGGGGGTAAATACACCCAGCTTCCAAAAATTAACCTGGAAAAAAATTAACCTAAAAAACAAATCCTCTATCAAAACAAATTTCTGAGTTGTTGAAAACAAGGTGCAGGGCCACTACTGCTCCACTACCTACCTCAAACTCTTTATCTAATGAACTTGCCATCCTGGGAATGGGTGTAACAGCCCAAGGGACAGAGACCAAATTCCTGGGATAGGTTCCATACATACTCTCTGACACTTGGAAGAAATTCAGCATGGAGGTTAACTGCATGTAGGGCTACAGGGAAGCAAAAAACTGCAACCAGAGAGAGACACACACAAAAAGGCATTCTCTCCCATCCCAATATCCTCCTAAGCACTGTCCCTGCAGTATCCTACCCACCATCCACTGCTCAGCCCTGCCACACCCTAGGCAGATAAAAGCAGTTCACACTAAACACTGCAAACTATGGTGAAGTCAGGCAGGAACTCTGGATTGCATCCTTGGAGACATAGAGGGTTAAAAGAGATTCAACAGAGCCAGATCAGAGTGCATGCTTTCCTATTGCTTTCCCAAATAACAGAAAAATTTGCTTCACAGTAAAATCCTGCCCATCACCCACCATTTTACACAGATAAACAAGGATGTCTACCAAGCCAGATGACTGCAGAAAATTCCATGCACTAGAAAGTAGAGCTCTTAAGACAGGGACCAGAGGAACATGAAGGTGTAAAGATGAAGAAAGTGTCACCAAGGGCAGAGGGCATCTGGTGATACACTAAGCAGAAGGCCCCTAAAGGGAGAACTCAGAGACAACTGGAAGATGTGCCCTGCAGCGAGAGAACTGAGGGTAGAGGATAATGAACTAAATGTAGACAAACTTCACCATATCTGGTACTAACCATAATGCCAGAACAATTTAGTCTGTTAGAGACACCAATAAAAAGGGCAAAACTGTCAAAACAAAAATTAATGTTCATGATCTATTTAAGGTTGGATCTGTAAATGCTGTTACAAGCAGTAACAATTCTCTCCATATAATACTGACAGGCCCAATTTTCTCTTCGCAGGCAATCTGTGGGCGACCACATCTGTGGAAGACTTTACCATCAGTCCTCCAGGACTTGGGGAGAGAGAACTGGTAGCTCCCCATCCCCTCCTGCTCCACCACCATTTTGGACACCCCACAGGTACCCGACTTGGGGTTCCATCTGACTTCCAAGAAGGACACGCGTTCCTCTCTGACTCCAGCTTGGGCAGCCACCTGTCTTTGCCATGATGACCCATTTTCCCATGACCCTGCAATACCTTGAGCCCTCTGGGAATGGTGCTAGAAGGGACACACAGCCACCGTGTGGACCACCGTGTCAGCGGAGGAGCCATCCCCAGAGGCGGCTCATCTGGCAAAGGCCCTGCATGAGCTCAGCTACACGGGATGGTACTGGAAAAGCATGACTGTTAATGAACCCAAGAGAAATTAAAAGAAGCTCCCGAAGGAACTTTCTTGATTAGAGACAGTTCACGTTCAGACTATCTACTAACAATCTCTGTTAAAACATCAGCTGGACCAACCAATCTGCGAATTGAGTACCAAGATGGGAAGTTCAGACTGGATTCTATCATATGTGTCAAGTCCAAGCTTAAACAGTTTGACAGCGTGCTTCACCTTATTGACTACTATGTGCAGATGTGCAAGGATAAGCAGACAGGCCCAGAAGTCCCCCAAAATGGGACCATTCACCTTTATCTGACTACACCGCTGAACACATCCGCACCCTCCCAGCAGCATCTCTGCCAACTTACCATTAACAAATGCACCGGGACCATATGGGGCCTGCTTTTACCAACAAGACTGAAAGATTACTTGGAAGAGTATAAATTCCAGGTGTAAGTGTTTCTCTTTTTCTAAACATGCCTCATTTAG